CACCCGCACCGCGAAACGAAAATGAACTATGATGATTCATAGGAATGCTGTCCCACTACCGTCGTTTTATACCGAATTTATCCATCGTTCTTTCTCCACTTTACGATTTGCTGAAGAAAAAAATCTATTTGGAGGTGGTCTCGAAGTGAAGAAAGAGCATTTGAAGAAGCGACACGTTTGCTGACATCACCAAGCGTATGAGAACACTATGATCCTGCGAAACCGCTGATAATGCTATGCGATGCCTCACCATTTGAGGTAGGCACCGTACTGGGGCACGCAGACTCTGAGGAAGCTATTTGCTCGATAGCCTTTGCGTCACGCACTATCCAACCGGCGGAAAAGAACTACTCCCAGCTCGATTAGCAAGCACTGCCTGTCGTATTTGGTATTAAAACATCTCACCAATACATTTGGGGTAACCTTTTTGAACTACATAACGACCATAAGCCGTTTCTGCCCTCATTAGGTGAGAGCAAGAGAATAAAACAACTGAAAGCACCTGGAATGGTACGACGGGCGCTCCTGCTCTCTGCCTACAACTACCGGATTCGCTATATCCCCTGCAAGAAAAATCTAGTTGCTGATGCCTTGAGCCGTTTGCCGCTCCGCACTACAGGTGACGAGCTGAACGAAGTTCCAGTAGAGCTTGTGAACTTACCGCAACGCTTGGATAACTCTCCGACATCTAGCACGGAGGTTGAACACGAAACGGACAGAGGCCCGGTATTGTCCCAAGTTAAACGAATGATGCTGCGCGGCTGTCCGATAAAAGTCACGGAGGAACTTCGTCCCTACTTTAGTTGTCGTTCTAAACTGAACCTGCATAACGGATGCATACTAAGGGGTTTTCGCATAAATGCCCCAGAATCAGTTAGGAATAAATTGCTGAAAGAACTACACAAAACCCACTCAGATGTAGTAGGAATAAATGTCCTCTCGAGATCCTACTTTTGGTGGACTAAAACATCGAGCAATTGGTCGTTTGCTGTGACTACTACCAACGACACCAAAATTATAAACCAGCAAGACCGATACACCCATGGGTATTGCTGGATGGACTCTGGCAGCGCGTGCATGCGGATTACTTCGGATCCGCTGAAGTTAGGATGTTGTTACTTATAAAATACTTCTACTCAAAATGGATTGAAGTCCATACTGTACCTAACATCACCTCCGAGTGCACCGTAAATAAAGTGCTTTCGAGTTTTGCCATATATGGGGTGTATAAAGCACTATGCACAGACAATGATCCCCAGTTTACCAGAGCAGTATTCAAGGATTTTCTGAAAAGTAACGCTGTCCATCATGTCACATCGGCACCCTATCACCCATCATTCAATAGCCTATCTGAGAGAGCCGTTCAAACAGTTAAAAACGGATTGCACAAGCAGCGAACAGCCTCTTTACAGACCGAAGGTGACAGGTTTCTATTTGCATATCGAACAACACCTTTAGACTCCATCAATAAAAGTAATGTTTGGGCATAGATTGAGGACACGATTAGACCTCATTTTCCCTGACTCAAGTGAACCGATGAGACGAAATGTGTACCACATGCAAGGGGCAAACACGTCAGATTATTGGAGGAAAAGGAACTTGATTTTAAAATTCATACAAAATTGCCCCACGAGCGCCTTTGTGTAGGTGGGACATTGTTTGAACAGTCCGGAACGCAAACTACCATGGAACTCGGCAATGGAAAAACGGTCCGTCGGCACACAGATCATGAGCGTTCGCACCTGGCCCATAGGATCACTGTTGAAGACTAAAATAAGAGTTTGGAAAATCATGAAGAAACACATACTGAAACTGCAGAAGCCCTGACCGGCTGTGACGAGCCGATTGCGGTCCGTAAACCCGTACATTCACCAAAACCAATTGATCTTTTTGTTCCCGGGCAATAACCAAAGCTGGATTGCGGGGACGTGTTGCATACGCGCCTGCGGCTTGAGTTTGTACGTTCTGCCAACATTCGCATCGATAGTTTGCTTGTTCCACAGATGTTTTCGATTGATATCTATTCAGATCAACCAACCTCACGCATTTGTCCATTCCAATAGTGCAGGCCGATATGGGCCCGATTCTGATTGGCATTTAGTTCTTCCACTGCCCTGCTTAACATACGCTTGAGACGATCGATTTTGAATGAGTCAAAATAAACCTATTCTACCCTGCGTACAGTTGTTCTACTTGGCTAGTGGGCTACGGATCCGAGACTAGAAAGTTCAAAATCCATGCGTAACGTTATCATCTCAAGCAACTTCTGCTGAAGAAACCCAACTTACTGCGTTCTCATGGCGAGGTGTTTTCCCACCTCAGTGAGAGGACAAATAGCCGGCGTCCGGAGATATAACTGAGTTGGTGGACAACTGGTAGTTCACCTAGAGGAGTTGGCCAAAATCACTGATTCCAAACCAACCAAAAGAAGGCAAACGAACCACACTCACACCTTTTCGGTTGTGGCAATGGTCACCGGCTCCATTGGGCGTCGAGTTGTAATGAGCACCTTGGACGCTTGACCCCGTCCAAAGGGCGTATGATCTGATGAACTGGACACCGACTCCCAATGGATTTCGGTTTNGGTTTTCACACACCGCCCTACTGTCTTGCAGGTGATGCACGTGAACTAAGGCCGGTCGTCACCGTACCGTGGCACAGGGAACGTACTGGTATCTGGTAACGAGTTTGCTTTGCAGCATGGAGGCGACGAAAGCAAACGAGCACGATAACGTGCTAAAACATCGAAAGCGAAAATGCTCTCGCGGAAGGATCCAGAGAGGTGCGGTGGGGTACTCTATTCTCAAAGGATAGGTGCTTGTGAATGCAGTAACGCTTGCTACGCTGTGCAGAAAGTGACGGGGTGGGGTGATGTGAGGTTGTATTAACGGGAAAAGGCCCGGAGTTATCGACTCGAGCTATAATTTTTTCGACAATAGGGGCGACCGTATCCAGAGGGTATCCTCTAAAAGAGCGGTTGCCGTGGTCTGCACATGGACTAGTAACGATTCAATCCATAACTGAATGACGATTTCCGAATGGGTATCGTGAGGTCCGGCGAGGGTCTTAGTTGACCCAAGTGCTGACTGGGCTTGATGTCACCCATTGGGCGGCTTGCCAATAGTTTCCACAGCCGTTCCTCCTTGGACGGGAAGAGTGCGTCCAGGTAATCCATTTTAACTAATAGAATGTACAATCCTGAGGGCGATTCAGAACTAATTCCCATAAGGAAGATAACTGTTTGCCATAAATAGCGTTGGTTCCTAACATTCCTTTGAGCGAATTGGAGTACTAACGCCGCAAGCAACACCTCTGGGTCACGAGGGAAGAACGGGATGGGACGGATTGCCACCGTATTCAAGGTTTAGTCTGAGCTAGCTGAACGTGCTTTATTATCAGATGACATGGTGTTGCTATAATATATTCAATATGAATATGTATCGTGCAACAAAGACACAAGCCACAGACTCTACCAAGGAAACAGAAAGTAAGGTTGTTCGGGTTCACCAATTGAAGGATGTCAACTACAGCCGGTGGTTAGGAACTTCAGAACGGGACCCTGGACTCGCAAAGAACCAAGTTACCGCTGGTAAACCAGAAGCTTTGTTGTTGTAGACGTTTATTGAAGTACAGTCGCACAGGGAGCGAACCGGTACCTGCTAACGAGAGTTTGCGTTGCAGCATGGAGGCAACAAATTATAACGTGCAAAACGGCTCGGAAGCGAAAAGTGAGTGCTCTCGCAGAAGGACCCGGCTGTTAGCGATCGTGTAAAACAAATGTCACATAGCGTTGGTACTGATGTAAAAAAATGTGAAAAACATTTAGGTGGTAGAGGAAAATGATGTCTGGCAAAATTCTGTTATGGTCCGGTTTTCACCGTACAATCGGGCATGCTACACGAGTTCGATTTTGGCTAGCCGAAGGTACCGGTTTTGGATTTCTAAAGAAAATTCACCTGCCTTGGCCTGGGCAACCTGACAGTATTCAGACCACAAGCTTTTGTATTCTTATTTTATCGCTTCGAAAGGCGTGAGTTGTGTAGGCAATATAGGTGTTGACTGCAGGGATCAAATACTTGCTTCCAAAAAGCTGAACAAACCGCTACCCATCCCATGCTGTCGTACATACCTTATGCATATCGAAAATTTAATTTTCTGTTGTTATTCTCAATCTTTTATTGATTTTACCAAAAGGTAGAACATACCCTGCGAGTTCATAGACCGCAATGGTATAGAATGTGATACCGATGTCATAAAATTAAAGAAACTATTATTATTGACAGAAGTATTCGGCGGAGTAGGACCGTCCAATTTTAACAGCGCGCGTTGTACCGCGACTGTGTTGTTGTGATTGGGACCAGTTGCCGCAGCAGTTCCCTGAATCTTATTGAAATTCAGCGCTATACACAGCGCGAAATTAGGAATCGCCAAGCTTGTTTTCCGAGTGTCAGTGTTGATTTCACCCCGCCACATGCAAATTAAACTGATTTGTGTGGCACGCGATAGCAATGTGCGTTCGAGAACAGTGCGCTTGAGATTTCTTTTCTTTTTTTGATGAAAAAGAGTATGAGGGGAAACACAAAAAGAAACCTTAAAACAATCACCGTACATAGGGCGTGAGGGACAAGGAAAATATATGTATGCATGAGCCAATGAAATAAGTGTTGAAAGAACCGTAACCCATGAATAGAAGGGCGTGTAATATCACAGACGATAGAATGTAACTGGAAACTGTTGGATAAACTGTTTGTGAACAGTGGATTAGAGAAAAATCTAAATAAAAATGGGGGGATAAGCTAATCTGGTTGTGGTGAGGCTTCGATTCAGTGTTCATATTAGTTTAGAAAGACGTAAACACAGGATGTGACTTCACGCCGGGACCGGAATGAGAAAATGGTTTCGAGAAAATGAGTTGAAATGCGGAAACCTTTAGAGTACAATTGGAGCGTGAACATCTCGGCTTGTGTGTACAATATCAGACAAGTGGTGAAGCAACTTGATCAGCTGTCATGGAGAATATTTTGCATTTGAAAAACCAAACTGCGCGCCAAATCCAACAACGCTTTGGTACTGTGCTGTTCCGTCAATTCTAGAGACGAGGGTGCAGAAAAGGGAGTATAAGTCAAACACAATAGAATAGAAGAAAACATGCAACCGTGAATAATTTAAGGGTACCAGCGTGCAGAGAATGATAAGGAAAATAATAATAATCTACTTTCTTTTATACGGGCAGGAAACCATAAAGCCAACTTTCAGGGAGGATACGCAGCCAATCAAGTGGCTGCAATGGAATACCAAATGTTGAAATCATAAAAAGTTCAGCAGTTTCGATGGGATTCGAACCCAAGCGTGGACACCGCCTACGCGTTTTGTACAGCGCACGCTCTACCAGCTGAGTTACGAAACCACAGTGATAGCACTGATCATTTCACATTGGAATTACCCATCCAACATACAGAGGCATATGGCATCCACCAGGTAGCACGTAAGCTGACTGCCACCACAAGTTTTTTTTAGAATTCACTGGAGTCCACCGAATGAGCTTCTAGGGCAAGGTTAATTGTTGAAACTGTTATCTGGCAGATTGAATTGCAGGAATGGTAATGCTAAGCTGTAATGATGGGATCAAACGATATGAACTACAAAGCGATGTGACGACGGACAGCACGACCCAATCACAACTGTCCCATGCATGGACATCCCCGAAACCCATGAGATTAGGCATCAGGTGCTGGGAAATCGTGATCCGCATCAAACACACAGGCATGTTTTACATTAGTCTTTCGTCCGATTCTGTTAGTGTGCAGCATTAACCGAAGAATAATAGAAAAAGGAATAACAGTGGACAAACTACACGAGTAATAGAATGGTATGGAAAAATACCAACTGATTAGGTGGAGATCACATTAGGTTTTCTGGTTAGAAAACTCAGAACTCATTAACACCATGATGGAAATCACAAGTGACCTTATTATGTGTGCAAAATGAAGCTTATATATTCGCTTACATCATTCTCTAAAGCTGTCCAGTCCATAACCCTAAATGTAATTCTGCTGTCCACTGGGAAGAGGTAAAAAAAGAACTGAGTTGTAAAATGCGCTGTAAAGTTTCTCGATTCAAACTATTACTGCTTATTGTAGGTTTGATGACCAACACTAATCAGCACGTAAACGCTCTAGACAACACATAAATAGGATTCTAGGATAGATGTGGTCGTTTAGATGATACAGTTCGAAATCCGGAAACCCTGGAATAAGAAGCTGGTCATAAAAACAGTCTGCGGTAGCGGGTTCCCAAGACGAATGATACAGCTTCACCATGAAAGAATTCTTTTTTCTGTTATCCCCTAATTTTAGAATGTGATGAGCGGTCTAGATGGTGAATCTAGTAGACACACAAACCTATTGTTTGGCTTATGAAAACTGTCACTCGGTGTGAGGAACCACACGAGACGAACCATGTGTGAACACAGTCGGGAGAGAGCGAAGCGGCGTGAAACATCTGTGACCGGTTTTGCGGTAGTGACGATGATTGTATGAATAGAACGAACAATCCAAGGGGACATTTTCTGTTCATGTTTTCTTCAGAATAAACTTAAACTCCAACTGTGAAATTGCTTTCTCTTTTGCTTTACTGCTTGTTTTTTTTTACTGAGTACGATCTTCCGCTCAGGTGCACATATAATCCGGGTCCTGTTCTAACTCACGCAACACGCCTTCGCTTTTCTACTGCATTTATTTGCTCGCATTGTTTAGACGTCACGAATAGGCACGAATTCTATACTTTCGAGTACAGCCATTGGTCACTAAGCGCCTATGATAACCACGAGTGTTTTTGTCTACCTCGAGCAACGAGCCACTAGGTGGTCGAGCGTGCATTTCGAGATCCGTAATAAGTCTTATCGACAGGCCGTCGCGTCGAATAGCTTCACCCTAACTCACACATTTTTCCAAAATTTTGTTGATCTAACGCATATTTTGCGTGTGTGTCAGCCAATGCAAGTCGATCTGATATGATAGAAATTCGCCCAACAATAAGTTGCATCCAGTCCGAAAATACTGTTTGAACGCATACATAAGTAACAAGTGGGTAGTTGTTTCCCTCAGCTTACGAAAGATGAAAGAATAAAGAAAAAAATCGGCGTGGAATGATCTTGATTTGAATCCAGGATTACGTACCGACCAATAGGAACAACCACAGGCTAATCGGTAGCTTTCTATTGACTGGACACAAGGACACCAAGGAGCAAACAAGCCCGTTCACGAATTGAGATAAGCGAACGAGGTTGAAAAACTGATGAATTATGTTCGGTCACCTAACCAAAAATCATTTCAACCAATAAAAACATTGTGGAAAAGTAAGCAGATCATAGTCGAGCGATGCACGACAGAAACTTACCGTTGTAAAATCGAATAATTTCAGTCAGGTCCATATCGTAATACAGAATAATATCACGATAATATTGTAAAAGAGCCAGCGCAAAGAATACTCCGAAATCATAGGCCACCAATCGTCTGGATGTCCAAATCACCTCCCAAATGGCAAACACATCTTCGTATTTGAATTCTGCGAGTGAATAAGAAAATGCGCGGGAGATGAGTATCCCAGAGGTCAGTGGTAAAATGAATTGGGATTCACGGCAGTTGAGTTGTGGCATCTGTGTGGCATAATAGCGAACAGCGTGAAAACTCGATACGCGTTAAAAATATAGACAATGAATTACAATTAGGCTTTATTCTGCAGCAATGAGATCATCACGTTTGAGGTATTATTCCAAGGTCAAGGAAGGACTTGGGCTACTGGCTCCATGAAAGTTACTGTGATTCTTCGTGATCACGTGTTTCATTCTATCCTTGGTTCACTACATTGAGGAGAGTAAGTTGAAAATGTGACTAAGCCCTAGAGTTCACCATTCCCCTTGGAGGGAGCATCCAGGCAACCGAGGATGTGAGAGTAAAGTCGATAAGAAGAATGAGAACATGTGAGCCTTGGTGTTGCAAATAAGTGTAATTAAAAATGAGAAAGAAACGAATACGCTACCTGTGAGGCTTTTAGGTAACAGCTAACATGCGGAATGTGTCAGGCACTTAGACAATCTATTTGTCAGAACGGCACTGAAGACACACAACAGTAAACTACTAGCTACGTAACTGTACGCAGATAAGGGGCGGATACCCGTAAATGGATCTCAGAAATCAATCGAACAAAACCGGTTACAGGAATCTATCTGGGCATTTTTATTTCATTCTACTAATTTGGGTAAACCCTGAAACCGAAAGTCATATGAGCAGGCCCAAGACAATTTCGGATGCGCTCACCGGTTCAGTTGAGTGATGGGGCGTATTGAATAATGGTGCCCAGTTTTAAAGGTGTATAATTCGATCGGCGAAATATAGATCCCTAGTGAACTGCTAACTCGAAGAACCGCTCTAGTCAATGCCTGATGGGTCAGGGCATTCTGTTTAGCGTGAGATCCCTCAAACTCACTGACTTGAAAAAGTGAGCATTACGATGGTTGGAAACACTGAGAGAGAAAGGAAACAAACAAGAACATTAGATTATCATACTCTGCTATNTATATATATATATATATATATATATATATATATATATATATATATATATGATGTGATGGCTAGTGCCTCTCCGTGACCCAGTGAGCTATACAGGATGGCTCCTCACAGCCGCAGATCCGATTATACCTGAACGATCAACGGGTAGAGGCCAGACGAAGCTCAGTCTCACCAAACCAGCAGCTTGGAAATCTCCTGGCCTCTTTTATCTATCCACTCTCGCACCTGAGGAGATCACTCCAGCAAATAAACACGCAAAAGGACAGGTTACTAGCCAAATTTCCGCTAGGTGGACGTATAAACGGGGTACCCGAGGCTTTCTCTCGACAGTGGGAGAAGTCTTCACACTTCATTGGATAGCTATCACCAGCCAAAACTGGACAGCCCCCAGCCAATAAGGTGCTGTCCCCGTTAAAATTCAGCTTGTCTCATTTCTGCATGAGACTAAGGGCCAACCTCGAACAGCGGACCGATAATTAACGCACCAGCAAACAATACACTGAACGGAAACCAGAAGGCCTTGCGTGAAAGGTTCCTAGAAGCTCCCACACAAGTGCATCGGTCATGCCTCCGCGTTGGATCTACGCGCCATTGCCATGTGCGGAGAAGGCCTACATCAACTTTGCGCTGACCACGGAATGTATCTATAAAGCACCGACTTCTCCTTCAAGAAACGACACCGCTTTACACGGAAGCAACCAACCTCTTCAAAGCGATGAAATAAAATCCAATACTTGTCATCAGCCACCGCTGGCGAGGATCCAATGAAAACTGCCGCTCATACTGGTCAACATCGGTGAACACGGATCATGCTCTGCTACGAACCAGATTCTCCATAAGTTTGGTAAAGAAACCGCAGAAGTATCCCAGAAAACGGATGCTCACAATAATATGCCAGCAATAATCACAAATCAGAACTCTCTGATCACCCTCCAACGATAATTAAGGAAGCGATCCAAACCTCAATAAAAACAACGGCCGATTCCGACACTCGATCGAATCAAAAACGATCGATCTCCTAGACCTCCGCTGTCCTGCACGACGCCTACAAAGCCATTCCTTCTCGTGCAAAATACGAAAAAGCGCACAAATCCCTTGAACACAAGCGAGAAGTGGTGGATAGAGAAGAACACGAACAGAGGAGGGTGCATTTGTCAACTTATGAACCGTCGCGACGTCCAGCTATCTGTGAAGGGTGGAGAGACTTGATCATCAGGGGAACAGGATAAAAATAGAGTGCCAGTTTTCGAACACCACTGTCTACGGCACCGTGCACGAGTCTGGTGGGATAAACGGAAGAGAAACGCTGAGGTTAGGCGTAGAGTTTTAGATGGTCGCGGTCGTCTGCTGGAGCAAGTGGTCGACCTCCACAGATTACGCTGGTTGTGATGTGTTAGGCATATCACTAAATAGGTTGCCACAACGAGTGATGTTTACCGAGGCAGGCAGCGGATGAATAAAGGTCCATGGCGGTCAAACTAAAACCTGACATGAGGGTATGAGAACCCTAACCAGGAGACTAGGTCACATAGGTCCCGTTAGGCCCCCTGAATGGGAACCCCGAGATCATGGTCACCGGCGGTTAGAGACAATGAGCGATATGACTGGTTGTCGCAAACAGTGGCGCTCGTGCATCTACTCAATATTCTTGCAACCCAAGGCAATATGAATTCTCTATCTTCTCTTCCAGCCTCCTCTCAACATTCCAATCTTCATTCTGCTCTTTTATCCAAATGGTCAACCAAAAATACAGCGAAATACCGGCGCATGAAAATGTATAGGTAATGGTTGTGAAAACTGAAAACGGATATGTTCGTTACAATAACCTCATTTGCAACATCGGGTAACTGTGAACAGACAGCTCTTTCCGAGTCAGTCCACTGCAAATTAATACTCTGACTCGACGTTTTGTGAGTGGTTTAGATGCTACTAACCGCAACAAACGTGACTTGAGCATCTTCACAGAATATTTCATAATAAGCAGTATATGAATGACTCGATAAAATTTCTCTGGAAGCACAGAACCGGTTTCGCGTTTCTTGCCGCCTGTTAGGCATGCGTATCTCGAAATCCGGTAGCATCTATCCCACTTACAAAACACCGAATCGTAGTATTGATTCTTCAATGGACTGATTCTGAAAGAGTTGTTCATTCCAAATTACCTGATGTTGCAAATGAGGGTAGTGTGACGAAAATGTACTTCCTGGATACAAGTATATAAATATGTAAAACTATACATACATAAAGCTTGCTCACCTCGTTTGAAATCCAAAAGTAACCATCGATAGCAAAAATAAAATTGTGAATCCATCGATTTTTCTGTAAGAAATTGGAACAATTCCGGATCGAAAACCTAGCGACGAAAAAAAGACAACCCACCAATGAAGTGAAGAACGTGGTAAACAGGACATGCGACCAATGACCAATGATCCCTTTCGTTGCATACAGGATGAAATCATTCGTGACAGATAAATACCGTTGTCAATAGAGTTGTTTATTGGTTTCCTGCTTACAGACTGCATGAACTTGCACTACACAACTGATGACTCGCATGCACGAGTAGGGCCCAGGGATACCACATGTCAAAGTTAAAGTCAAAGTTTTATTATGGGAATAGCTTACAAGCTGGTGCTTCTCTTGTCCCATAGGATGTTTACATAGATGAATCGTTACACATCAAAAAAGGAGTCACATAGAGATCCGGGTAGGAGATAGAGAATGTAGGCTACAGTGAATCCCGTTTGCCTTTAGTGTACGAATGTGAGGTGTGCCAAGATTTTGTCGAGTCTCTGCTTGAAAGATTCAATGGTGGGTGCACAAACG